GACAATTTAATTAAAATTTGGTGAAATGTTATAAGTTATAACTACTTATTTTATTTATTATTATTTTTTTTTGAAATTTAATAAAGTATAATTAATTTGAGTATATCAGGGTATAATATTATAATGACTCCTTCGTGAAAACGAGTTTTAATGAAAAAATGATTAAGTATTCCATGAAAAAAAAATATTATAATATTTCCCAAATGAAGACTACGATTTTCTAGACCATGTGAACTGAAATCCGTCAACTCTGCCTTGAACAATTAGTGGTTTAAAATAAAAAAAATATTCTGAGTATCAATCAGTCTAGATCAGCGGTTCTCAACCTTTTTATATCCACGTACTACCTACACATTTTGAAAATGTTCATGTACCACTTGAAGAAATAACATTTTTTACGAATCAAAAATGTAAGTTTACGTTATTTTACATATTTTAAAGGATTTTATTTTTATAGAGAACTACAAAATTATGATGATTAAAAGTAGGATAAATATGTATGTAGCACCGCCTCCTTAAATTTCACATGTAAAAACATAGACACTTCTGTATAAGCAATTCGAAGTACATGCACCACTCAAACTTGTATTAATTACTCAATATAGGCAACCCGTAACACATATAAACTCGATCCGACAAGTGACCGACATATATTTTACCCCTTCCCCTCCAAATACATTACCTCCCCTTTTATTTACCCCTTAAAAAAAAAAAAAAATTTATAATCTTCTAATGTACATTTGTATCGACTATATCGAACACTTGTCTGACATATATTTTACCCCTTCCTAAACAAATATATTACCTCCTCTCTTATTTTCCCTTTAAAAATAAAAATATATAATATTCTGATGTAAATGGAATATGCACATAGATAATCTAATAAATAAAATAAGACAACTAACTTACTTTTTCCTAACAGCTAAAAAAAAACTAAATATAAACTATCTAAGAATAACATACTTTGCAATGATTCAATCTTTAATACAATACGGTATAGTCGCTTGGGGAGGTTGCAACACTACATTAATACATAAATTATCAATAGCACAAAAAAATATAATAAAAATGATCTTAAGTAAACCAAAAACTTCTGGTATTTGACATGACGGCTTTTCGCCGGATTCAAACTGCTCGACTGGTGACAAAGTCGACATAAGCACAGGCTGGTTGTCACTCACAACTGTAACAAAAGGTGTCGTTATTAAGCTGTCGTTTACTTCGTCAGACGGAAAACCTGTCGAAACATTCATCTCCGCGTATGGTTCAAGCATCGAATCGCTACGATTTTCCGGTGTTGTTGTAGAGCCGCTTGTTGATACTGCATCGTCAATCAACTGCAGATTTTCAACTTCTGGTATTTGACATGACGGCTTTTCGCCGGATTCAAACTGCTCGACCGGGGACAAAGTCGACGGAAGCACAAGCTGGTTGTCGCTCACAACTGTAACAAAAGGTGTCGTTATTAAGCTGTCGTTTACTTCGTCGACTTTTGTTAGAAAATAAAATATTATTACTAAATATAAACATCGGATATTCTCGCATACAAACGTGAGCCAAAGCGAGTTCCGAACAAAAGTGAGGGGAGACATTTCAAAACGTACCTAGTATTTCCATTTTACACTTTTTTGATAAATCACGATTTTCTATTTTTAATTACTGGTGGAAATAGTACGTTATGTATTAACTCAATTATATTTCCTCATTGAGGAATTGGTAAGTTTTGTGTCAGTTTGTCAAATAAACAAACTATTTAACATGGGAAATACTACGTTTTTACATAATTTGGGAAATACTGCATTTAGACAAATGTTGCCTTTGGAAATAGTGCATTTTGAGTCATTTTTGAGTTTCAGATTGATTTTAACAAAGGAAATAGTACGTTTTGATTAAATTTTACCAAGCCATTAGATTCCTCGTCCATTTTTTCACATGATTCGATGTATAACTCAATTCATGACATTTTGGAGATTGTACGTTTTAAAATGTCACCCCTCAAGTGTACTTCCAAAGATTGATTAAGTATTTATCATTGCTTTCAAATTGAATTATTATTAATTCGTAACACATCAGAAATTCGCAATACTCTAGGCCTCTAGGCGAGCCAAGTGAGTCGAGTGTTCAAAATTCAGTTTCAATATCCTATCCAGTTGTTAATATTATACTTTTAAGTTTTAATGTTCTCCTAATATACCTATATATAACCGAATAGGTATACCTATTCGGTGAGTTGGTATTATTAACTATATTCATATATTTCTATTAATTATAACACTCGTTACTTTTTACCAGCAAATTTAAATTGATTTATCCACCTCCACACATAAATTATTGGAAAATATAAGTGAATAAGATATTTTGAAATAAATATTATCTTCAGGTAATATTATCATATATATTAACTAGGCAATAAACATGTAGTTTAAAAATCAAATCCATTGATAAATCACTCAGTATACAAATACAGATGATTGAGTAGTGAGTACTAATTCGTGATTTGCATCCTGTGTGTATTGTAACATAACACAACTTACTCAATGACGAGGTACATTTCACTTCTCTAACCGGACAATAGAGCGGTTAATTAGACCTCCCCTTTATTTCTACAAGTCTAGAAACGATGCCAACAAAATCATAAACGTATATTGAAACCATTAACAAGTTATGTATACAGTGGCGTCATTTCAGGTTTTGAAAGGGGGGGGGGGAGTTTTGACCGGCCCATAATTTAAAAAAAAACCGCTCTCTAACAATTACATTTTTATCTCAATACAAACAGCCTTCTTACATAGTTATATTTATATACATACAAGTTGGTTATCTGAGATAACTGTGGTTACTCTAAGCATAAATAACACACATTTTTGAAAGATAACAATGACTAATTAATACATAGGTATATAAAATATAATATGTAGAGGGATACCCAATATTACCTATTAGTATTTAGGTAGTATTAAGCATTGAGTAAACAATATATACTCAATGCCATCAGCTACTATATAATGACATATTTTAAGGGGAATTTTACCCCAATTTATGTCCTATTTGCACCAAATATGATTTTAATGGTATTAACAAAAAATAAAATAAAACATACAGATACAATACATTATTATATATTTATCATTAATTATAGTTTTTTAAAAGTTGCTTAAAATTAAAATGCTAGGTAGTGAAAGGATATCTTCTTGTTTTCATAGCTCCAAACATATCAACAGCTTGATTTAAATTTATCAGTGAAGCTGTTTCCTTCTCCACAGCTATCACTAATAAATCACTCAGTCGTTTATCGCCCATTGTTAATCTTAAATGCGTTTTAACAAGCTTAAGCGAAGAAAAGAAACATGTGTTCAAATATAAAAATTAAAATAGATAACATCCATTGTTTTGTTCTGTTATAAACTGATAACATTAAACCGGCCCGTTAGTAGGCCGCCAGCGGCCCGCTAATGACAAGGGGGGGGCAAATGCCCACCTTGCCCCCCCCCACAAATGACGCCACTGGTTCATCTCAAAAATAAACATCTCATATATATACCTATACTGCTCCTCGAACTCATATGGACTTATGGTATTCAGGCATAGGAAGCTGCCAAATATACCACCAAAAATAAAATTCAGAAATTTCAATCCAAATCCAAACACATGTTTTTGTCAAATAACTAAAGCCCTGTACTACTTATAATTTCTCAAATAATACCCTTATACGTAAAATATTTCTATGATTTTATATACAATTTATAGATAATTAATTTTATATAAGCCTTAGACATAATATGAAGCGCGAATATAGCTATAAGAAAATCTATAGCACCAGGCCATTAAAATTCTGGATATTGTGATTTTTCCAAGCACGTGGAATGCATATTATTATTATAAAATTAAGAGGATGTCGGCGCACTATTTGTTTTCTCTCTACGGCCCAAGCGCAACACATACAAAACATATTTATGCAGAATTATTTTTTTTTATGTTTTTAAGTAATCTTAGAGTAAAATCACCCATTACAAAAACGAATAACGATAGAGAATATTTTTTTTGAGGACATACCTATCTATTTGTATAAATATTGTCTCAAAACAATTTAAACATCATTTCAATTTACAATATTTTTTTTGTTTATTTTGAAAGTCAAATAACAATAAAATATTAAATCGATATGTTATACCTTCAGAAATATTATCCTCTATAATATTTGTAATAGTTGATTTTACTCTAAGATAACTCAAAAATCATGAAAAAAAAAAATAAGATTTTAGGTGAAAGCGTTTTATCTATGTTGCGAGTGGGTGTGAGAGAGAAAACAAATATTGCGATGACATCCTCTTAAAGCGTATCATATATATACGGCATTTGCAGTGAACTTTACATACATGCAAAACGTGCAGATAGGTCGGTCGAGAAAAAAATACCGTAACAATACAAATCACATACTCGTGTACAACTGTTATTGTGCGTTATATAAATTGATATCATTACCTACTTACGTAAATATATAAATATTTATATATATGATACACATGCAATGAGCGTTATCGTTTATAATATTATTATTGTTGCGCGTGTACTCACGGATTGGAAATCTGGCGGAAGCGGTGTGTGTCGGTGTGGTGGGGAGGAGCTTCGTTGCCTATCTCCTTACACATAATAATTTATTATAGTATTATCTGCAACGCCAAACCGCGGAAAACACGCCTCGCACAGTTTCCGCCGACCCGCAACGAGTAGCTCTCGTCGCTACTGCAATAACCGTCGCCGTCTATAAAACACAATAATATACACAATATTATAGTATATGGGTACGTCATATTACGATATACACGCTTTATACCTGTATATACCACGCCATTTTCATCTCGACGCGAAACGACGAGCGCGAACTTACAGCACCACCGCCGCCGCAATCCGCACACAATACAAATTCGCGCGTTCCCGTCGGCGGTCGTCGCGCGCCACATATATGAAGTTTTCCAAGACTGTGGGCAACAGCTGGCACAATGTGCTCGACCAACTCCAGCCAGGAGTACCTGGTGGCGCCATCAAAGGACGGCATGGACGAGACGAGCTACATACTTCAGCAGCGGCGGCGTCAACAACAGGTTATGATAAATTATATATTATGTATTATATACGTATAATAATAAATTATAAGTTATAGTAACATATTTAAGCTTAAGTCCCACAATATATCAAATCTTATATTATATTTTTATTATTCTTTCACTTAATCAATTATCACTTTTAATACTGCACCCGGCACCGTGGTTATATACAGGTATAATATGTTGATAAATCTACCTAGCTACGTCGTTCAATCCATTCTCACATCAGACTTATGGATATAATATTATATTAAATTAAACATTTTTAAAACTAATTCTACCTATTTTGTTTTAAACTTTCGACATGCTGCGGGCATGCAACGTAATTCGTACCACCATGTGATTGACTCATTATCATTACCTGAGGCTGTCTACTGAATAATTGATGAATTATTTTCCAATACTAATTGTAACGCAAAGAACAATAGGTATAGAGAGTAAACCAAACTCTACAGAACTCGTTATTTTAAAAACCCATTTAGCCTATTAAAGAATTACTGAAATAACTAATTGCTTGATTAAGTCCTAAAATAAAATTGTTCCACAACTTAGTTCATTATCCGAACGAATAAGGGCCCACAAAAATATAGTTGCTGGGAACAACAGAAAAACATACATATATAGTATATACTCTATAACTGTTGCCTGTCGCGTAAATATTGGCTTAGTATCATTTTTAAGTTTAAATAATCTTAATTTTCATTTCTAAAAACCTTGTTTGTTTTTGACGTGTTACTGCTTCTTGCTGGTGTTGGAAAGTGACGACATACGGTATTTCATCTATTTATGTCGTCTACTTATCTAATTTTTTTTATTGCGTCTTGGATATTTTTGAAAAATCAAAATTTTCCTTCCATTTTTCAGATATGGGACTAGGTAGCAATACATTAATGATAATATTAGTTTTGATGTTTGCTGTTTATGATTACAAAATGTATTGTTAAAAACAAGTCTAAGCGAATAATATGTTTTTATTGCCAATGCTGTTTTTTATAACTACCATTTAGAGACTAGAGTACTTGAATGACAATACTATCAATATGATAATATTAATCATAGTGCAGTTTTAAAAAGTAAATCAGTAACATATTAATAGGTTAAATTTAATCAATTACAAATTTTAACGTATAGCTTTTACAAATGTACCTATATGGCTATATATACTGAAATATTAAATACCAACTGTATACGCATATAATTTTAAATACTGATTATTTCATTTTTGTGTTGCCTATAATGTACTACTTATCAAACTATTAAAATTGAATTAAACAAAAAAAAAGTATTACGCGAATTCATCAATTAAATTGACTATGGTATTTTAGATTTTCCTTGGTATATATATTCACTCGGTAATTTAAAAATTCTATAATAAATGTACCTAGATTTAAATGTATTTTATTAGGTCTATGTGTAGGTATCGTAAATATCTCAAAATCGAATAAAAAAGTATTAAATGGATTTTAAAATTTAAATATATAAATTACACAAATATAATGTAACTTTCTTAATTCCTCATAATGACATTTTAAAGTTTTTTTTATATTCTATGTACATAATATATATTATTATTATATTTTATACAAATATGTCATAGTATCAGACATAGTATACTATTATGTAAATTTAACTTTCATATTTTACAAACGTTCAAAAAATATAAGGAGAAATAAGTTTAAACTTAAATGTAATATTGGGTTGATTTAGGAAAAAATATTGAAATATCAATTTATTCATGTTTACTTAATAGTCAATATAGTTAATATTTAATACTATAATTCATTTTATAACTGATATAATATAATGTTATCGTTATGTATTTTGTTATTTTCATATAAAAATCTATAGGTAATACTATATAAATAGTATATATAAATTATCTATAGTCTATATAAATTTAATGTTTACAGCCGCATAAATTATTTCCTCATATAGTCATATTAGTTATAACTTATTAATGTTTTTTCTAAAAGTTAGTAGAACATAGTTATATTGTATTATTTATATATTTGTATAACCATAGTTTTAGAATAATAATATATAATATCGCACATAAATTTATACTAATATACTATACGCCTTCATAATATAATATTATACAGCAATTATTACAGTAAAATTAAACATTTTTTATTATGAATTGAAGGTATATTTGAATAAAGAATTTTTACTATACAGGTATAAATTCGAAAATAAAATCTTCTTTTACTTTTTGCATCAAATTTTCAGTAAGAATGGTCATACAGGGTGGTTACCCAACTTCAGGAATAATCAAATATCAATTTATTCAAGTTCTGATTTTTAGAATTTGTAAGTATGCCTAACTACTGCTTAAAGACCATATTTTCAAATACTTGGATGTTAATACCTTAAATAAGCGTACTGTCGTCTGTCGTGATACAATTTTATTTTTTAGATTCGTATCACTTTTTTATACTATAAATTATAAAGCAGGCTATTTTTTGAAAATGTTGACATATACTAGAATATAATTCGAAATTCATGAAAAAAAAGTATCTGAATTATGAAATAATGTGTATAATATATTAATATCCCATAATAATGGGTTGGTAATTTAAAAGAAAATATTTTGGGGGTTTTAAGAATTGAAAATTATATATTTTACTATACAAATAATAATTTAGAAATTAGTCCTGTAAATTTCGATTAAAACGCGTCAACAATTAAAAAAAAATCATCTAATTGAAAATGTGCAGCAAAATAGGGTGGATCTTGTTCGGAAAAATTCAGTTTTTGTCAACAGAGGATATTCTTTAAATGGAATAAAAACCATTGAGTATTTGAAAATATGGTCTGTATATACTATATGGCCTATATATAGGGATATTTAAAGATTCCAAAAATCAGAGCTTATATAGATGTATTATTAAATGTAAACGGAAGTGAACATGCTTGGTAAATGCTAAATTAGGTATTCTATACATGACAAATACCTAATTATAGTTGTAAAAAATTAAATGATTGTGAATTTTTTAATTTTAGTTAAAACAAATGCAATGAATAATTTATTATTATATAATTCTAAAAACCACCGATACTAAGAATATTATTTTTTAGATAATTTAGATCTATATTTAGATATACCACTTTTTAATAATAATAATTGTTAAGAATTAATTGTTATTTGATAAAATAATACCGATCTTCATATGATTCTTAGAGATATTAGGTAGATATTTTATTTATTGTAATACGAATTTCATATGCACATGCATAGTTTCAATTATTGAATATAAAATAGTTAAACAATAATATACCTTTCAAAGTAATTTTACTAAATATTCACTTACATGATTTAGATATTAGATATTGAATTCAATATAGGTAGTTTTGGAGTATTTGATTGCTTTTATTCGTTATTTATGTATAATCTTCTAGATAACATTTACAATTATACACTATACAGTATTAACTATTGGGTATACATATAAATAAATAATGCGATATAGTGCTAAATAATAAAAATGTAAAGTATAATTACAATTCAAATAAATGCGTTATTCGCAAAATAAAAAAAAAAACGGTTTATTGAAATCGTTTTTAGAAATTGATCCATTTTAATTTTAAATCTTCTGAACCACGCTGGTTTATGTAAACATCATTAAATGAATATTTGCCTATTTGAAGTATTTACAGAACCATTGACTTCATTCTGTGGTATTGATTTATTTACTTCTATAGTTCTATATAGTTTATATTCATGAGTACGATATTCAAATGTACGCTCTATGTATGAGATGTTCGAACTTTGTTCCATCTAATATTAATAATATACAAAATAATTATTTTTATTTTTGTATACGTACTTAAAATTTGGTTGATGATATTTTTTTATTTTTTATTTTACAAGATATATACAATATATACATTTAAGCACAATAAGTATAATATGTGAGATGGGGATAACAAAACATTATGGTGTTACGTGAATAAGGAGCCACCTATAAGTAGCACTTAGCTTGGATGTCCGGTTAATGATATTAAAAAGATAATAAGTGGAATGTTATACTATTTAAATAATTATAGACAATCGTTTATTTGATGAATATTTACATTAAGTTTTTTGTGAAAATATTGATAAAGACCTGCTACTATATTAATCAATGTGTTTTCTCTTTTTTTTCGAAACTTATAATTTTATCTTTGAACAAAATAATTGTTATCGTTTATTATAGGTATTCAATATTTTATATGACTATTTAAAAGTTAAATGCATTAAACGCCTGTAACAGTCTGTGACACAAAGACAAAATTATATTCATTTGTACTCTACGTCTCTACTGATTACCTAATTGTTATTGATACAATATGAGATATATATAAATTACAAAATTAATAAAACAAAATACTATTTTGTATGCAAAACAAAATAAAATATTACAATTATAAAATAGTAATTATATTTAATATCTAATTATGATTTGAGAAAGTATGGACTTTGGAGTAATAAAGTAAATAATAACTATCTCAGATATTTGTATTTATAGCTTTATAGGACAACTACTATGCTACTGTAGTTGCATAAAATAATATGTTGTTTTATTAAACATGAAATAGATTATAATTATTATTTATGAGTTGGATGCAATTTACAACGTAAGCAATTATGTTTAACTGAATGATACGTATAACAATTTGGGTTGTCATTGAAAATTTAATTTACGGGAACTATTTTTTAATGCATATGTCTTGTATTCATGTTCAACTTTAATAATACATAATTACAAAAAAAAATAAGAATGAAAAATAAATTTGAAATTGCATTATGTATATCATAATACTCATTCTACAATGCTCGCTTGTTGCAAGTCTAAAGTAAATTTTAACTCAGCAGCTTATACAAATCACATAGATATCCAAATATTAGTTTAACGTATTATAATATAATGTATAAGTTTAAATTATTGAAGACATAGAAATTGCATGGTAGGTAGTAATAACTATAAATAATAATATGAATTTACCATACCTACGTATTTTGTTAAACCTTTACCTCGACAGGTAGGTATGTATTTATTAACTAATATTTCACATACCAACATTTTGTTGGATTTGTTATAGGTGATGGATGGAGGCGACAACCTCAAAAACTGTCCAAAGTTTGCGAGTTTCAATTACATCAACTCAATTATTGGTAGTGGTGTTATTGGTAAGTTACATACCTAGTTAAAATGTTAAATACTTATTTATAACAGCTATTTAAATAGGCATAAACTAAATACAGTAAATAGTAAATACAATCTATAGAAAATTTCTGTTAAAAAAAATTCCATGGTAATGGCAACTAATTAGTATTTACTATTCATTAAATTTAAGTAATAGGTACAAAAATAGTACTTATCAGTTATTTTCACTATACAATTTTTGTTTTTCTAACTTTCGAAGTCGAAAATTTAGTTTATTTTTAGCAATAAAATTATAAACAATGAACATTAACACATCATTAAATATACTAGAACTTTTTAATTTTATATTCATGAAAGCAATTTTATGATGCTGACATGCTGTATTGAATTAATTTCCGTTTTTATAAATCATAAATATAACTAAACTTAGTGACTAGGGTATATACATCCATTAGAGTTCTCAAAAATCTCAATTACATCACTATATAATTCACTAATTTAATAAGATTCAATTATTTAATATAATCTTGAAAAGTAAGTTGTTGACAATTGTCCGTTTTACATCCTTGAGTAAAATCCTTATCTTACGCGCGTTACGTGTGGCTGTGGAACATTTATCAATTATGCCGGTATAAAAAAATTCATTACTATTTGTATTACCTAAACTGAATTAAAAAAATAAAAATTTTGTCATATAAATAGATACTCATAATTTTTTTAGCAATTTACAATGGATTTAAGTCTCTATAGTATACAGACATGATGTAATTAATTACGCTTGTAGTGCTTATAAAGACTTACACAAATAATTTAACATTTCAAATCTGTATGACATCTAAATGCAAACAGTTTATAATGATTTACGGCATGACTTCACTAATTTATACATTAAATAATAGGATACCAATACACCATTAATAACTAAAATCAAAAAACTTAAGAATTAAAACATGCATTATTGTAAAACCGATAAAATTGTACATAGTACAAATGTGTATTTTGTTCTTGTATAAAATTAATATAATAATGTTTTATGTTAGAAAATTTTAAAAACCATTGTATTATAAGATGACATTTTATACTTAAAAAGTTATTTTGAATAAATTAGGTTAGGTACCAATATAATTCTAGAAATTCTATTTTACTTAATTATATTATATATCGTGGTATACCACTATCTAAAAGGTTATAATATATAATATAAATGCTAAGTGGTTAAACAACAATATTTTTCTAAAACATTTATTTTTTCTATTTTGTGTCGTTATCATTTTTCATTTATTTTTAAATGTTTAATGGCAACATGTATTCTTTATCACAAAGCAAAGTATATTTGTCATTTGAAGTACTTCGATGTATAAAGGTCGAATTTAGGATGAGTAGATAGTTTGTGATCTTTAAGTACTTAAAGTTTAGTTGAGCTGAATGGAGTGGTACAGTGGTACCCCGCAAAATGTTGGCCCATTATTCTACTCGTCTAAACTTTCAATATTTATAAGTAATAAGTAATAAACTATTTGTATGAAAATTAATTTTATAGATCAAAATACTCAGAATAATATTCTATATCGGGATTCGGGATATGAAATTAAAAATGTAGGTATGTTGTCTTTCAAAGAAATAATAAATAGTAAAAAGTTTTGTTTTGTGGGGGGTTAAAATTATGTGATAAAAATATATTTTCCAAAACGTTATTCTTTTCTGAAATAATGAAATGCTTACGTTAAATAGATTACTCCGTTTGAACAGTAGTTATTCGATTTCAAACTAATTATACCATTTTTCTCATCTATTGAGTTTTTAAAAATATGAATCTATATTATATTATAATTTGTAATACGTACTTTTTCCGTAACATTTATAAAATTTAATTCTAAAAAGCTTGGAAGTGGATGTCCCTTTGCTGTACAGTAGGTTACAAGTGGGTCACTGTAATGGATGGTATTAAATTTGAATTAAATTATATGTATACGATCTACCTAACTAATATCATTGTATACAAAAAACGATTCTGAGAGGAGACGGTTTGTTAGCTAAGGATATTTTATATTATATTTATATTATCGTTATGAACACTGTAGTCTGTAGCCAATAAGTTGAATTATATTATTATTGTATATTATAATAATATACTTCAGAAGTTTAAAGAAAACCGAAATCGCCCCAATGCACTAACTAGATTCAATTTCCTGCCGGAAATATACTAAAGTTGAAAATAAAAGTATTATTTCGACTACTTATCGTGTACACAGAAACAAAAAAAAAACTCTACATCATTGTAAAGTCAATACATTCATCGCTCCTCTCAGAATTTAAAAATTGTATGAAGTTTTAAATATATTTCAAAATGTTTGAAATATTGAACTTTTTTTTTGCATTTCTTTTAGTTGTTGGTTAGTATATTGGGTATTAACTATGAAATCTAAAATGTTTATACAATGTTATTAAAAATGTACATCACATACTTATTTTATATTTTTGACATGCATCATAGTTATTAATTCGATACATTTAGTTAATTATAATATTAATTATTAATTAATATTATTATTATTATTGATGATTTATTATAATGCTACTTCCTTGATATCCAGAAATTATATTGCACCGAGTGAAGCTAAAAGTCATTATTAAACTGCTTTAACTGTCGAGTTTAAAATAAATAAATAATAAACTTCTATTCTACTACAAAAAAAGCTAATGCAACGAGTAGATATATATAAGACTTACTGCAGACCAGACAGATGTCCGTATTTCTTTTTTAATGTCTCCGGTTCTATTGCAGTATGATAAATACAATAATGTAAAAATTCAAATCTAGAAAGAAAATATTCAACAAGAGCACTTTAAACCACTTATATATAATATGTTTGTACTATCCTCAAACTAATAAAACTCCACCATTAATGTAAACCAATTTAAGTAATAACTTCCTGCTTTTCTACTACGAACCTTAGATAATTCTGTTTGAAAAATAGTATATTATGAAAGTGATAAAACTAGTTAATTAAAAATATATATGCGTAATTACAATATTTTATATTAATAATAGAATATGATTAATTATAATTTTATTTATGTCAGATTAATATGTATAAAATTGTAAAGTTAAGGTAGTTACACACACAATAACATAATATAAGTGGATTTATTCTCTCGCTGACTTAGTTTTAATTATATAAAACCCATGGTTGCTGATTAAATGAAAAAAATCTTGGCAAAGCCAATAAACATAGGTACTTATAAAGTTATAGAATATGACATGTAAATCACACCACCTGTCCTGGTGATAAGAAGAACGTAATTACTTGAATTGTAATTTACACTGATACCAAATTAATTTGTTTGTTTCAGGTATTCCATATGCGTTTAATTGTCTGGTGTCGGAATGGGAGTTTATATTTGGCATTGGTAGCGATTGTCACTGATTACTCATTAGTACTCATGTTAAGGAGTGCACACATAAGCGGTTCCTTTTCATATCAATCATTGATGAAATCTGCCTTTGGCAGATATGGTTTCATAGTTTTTTCCTTTTACAATTTATTTATCCTTTTATAGGTAAGTATCAAGCAATAAAAAAAAATATATAAGTAATATCTTAAAATCTTAAGTCTTGACTCAAGTTTAGCATGTTGGTAATTTCAATACAGCTGTAACGACTTAAAAATTGAATCTTCGATAGGATTATTATTTTTTAAACATAGGTAGGTAATTAAACTATAGAAAAAAAAAAAATATATTTTTCGGTTAAAACTATAAAATATAATTATATATCATATACTTTTTTTTTATACATATTGTAGGTACTATTTAAATTACAAAAGCCCTTCGGCTTAAAAATTATAAAATAAATAAGTAGATTAATTAAATTTGAATTTCGTAAAAACATAAATTTATTTTGGTGTTATATACTATTTTGTAAAATTGAAAATTCTTATATTTTCTTATTGATTAGGCCTTAGGTTTTTGGTGGTTATAAAAGTTGAATAATATACATGTAGTAGGTTATTATTTATTACTAGGTACCTATTAAGTAAATCTAAGTTGGTAATAATTCTAGTTATATAGGTATTGTCATTTTAAATTAACTTCATAAGCATGATGAATAATGATTAATGACTGTAGATTAATATTCGTTTATGTACCTACTCGAATAACCGTTAATACTCGTAGGGTCTGCGTAAGTAGTAGGTAACCTATACATTATTGTAAGTTCATAACGTGCTTTTATTTTTCACCACAGTAATCCGCCATGTTTTACCGTCAATGCCCCTCTCAAACATTTGTATTTTACCGTATACAACTTATTATTACAGGGAAATCACACAGTATTTTTTAGCTTAAACAAATAATATTTACCTTGTGTAAAGTTTTAATTTATTTATTTTATAGCTTTAAATATAAATCACCCCCGAAAACGGTTTAAAAATTATAAGTTTTTAACAGTAATTATTTTTTGAGTAAGTGAAAAATTTAAAATTGCTACCTAGTTAAAGGCTGAATGATTTTCCTGCAGTAATGTGTGTACGGTAAAATAAGAAATTTTGAGCATAGCATTGTCTATTTGTCTGTCAAATATGGTCTGAATACCATGGAGAAAATGAATATGTACACCCTGTGTAAATACAAATATAATTACTAAAAAAAAATTACAATTTTAGATTCTAAATGGAACAATGAATTTATTGATTTTACAATAAAGTTTATGTATTTTTTTGTATTCTTTCATCACTATTCGAAACAGTAAAAATGCTTCAATATTCAATTTTGAGAATAGTATCTGATAAAAAATTGGGTCTAGTTTATACTTTGGGGAGTCAAAAGAAGAACATTTTCAGGAAAAACTAACATAAAACCACTGAACCTGGTAATATTTACCCAACATTAGTTATCGACAAAATAAATTTTATTTTGTTAATCTAATTTAAAAATAAACATTTTTAGAGACTTATAAATGTAATCAAATACTATACTGTAATTTTCTAGATATACTATAACTTCGAAAGTATTGGGATTTTTCAGGCTATTTATGAGATATAAATGTTCGATTTTTTATCTTATTGGATTATGATGATAACAATTTTTCTCAGACTCAAAATGTTTGAACATATAATACAAGGTTCCTCATAAGTACCTATTTGTGAAAATTTTAATATAATGTTTTGTTACAAACATTTTTTAATTTGACTAAAATGGATATTTTCGATTTTTTTACTTACAATAGTTATTATATTGTAATTCAACAAATATAAACCGTAGGGACTTGAAACATTTCGTTATTTCATAACTTCAATAAAATCAATATTCATATTATTTAAACACAACAAAATTTTCCAAATATTAAGACTAATTGTATGCTATTTGTAGCATAATATTTTTTACACTAGTCTACCGTACGTAGATATTGATTTATAAGTTAATATCAATAGTAGGTAATAATATAGGAATGCTTTGTTTTTGGAAAAAAGAGTTCTAATTACTATATTGCCGATCTACTTATAGTAATATAAATAAAATATTACAAAACATTATTAGAAGTAGAGTCGACAGACTGTCTCCTCTCAGAATCGTTTTTGGTAACGATGATTTATAATTTAACTCATCCATTGCTGTGACCTACTCAACGACGAAGTACACACGAAACCGATACGTGTTCTGTACCTACAGCAGAGAAAATTCCTGTTTTTTTTTTCAATTACACTACCATGACTCACATGTCGTGTGTGCTTTCTTTCACCTTACCTCACACATACTTTATTGTATTTTTTTAATATTCAATGACCAATGTTTACTATACATTTTGGGGAAAAATTAAAATTTTATTGATATAATTCTATTATTATTTTTATATATTATGTATTTCTGTTTAATTACATGTCTTATAGTAATCATTTTTTATATTTTTTTTTATGTTTTTTACGGTAGTACAATAGTGTATATAGGTAGTGGTGAAATAAATCTTATATTAATTTAACAATTTAGAATCATTTAAACTTTTCATTTTGAATTGCTAGTAAATTTAATTTAACTATATTATATAATATATAGGTAGTTATTACCTATCTATATATTAGCATAAAGAATTGAATACTTGGTTATTACTATACTAGCTATATCAACGTGGTTTGAAATCGATAGAAACAATGTATAATAGGTAGCCAATAATTTATAATTTAAGACCCATAATATTATTATTTTACTGTATTGCTTGGATCTGTCAATGTTTAACTACTTTGATTAAAGCTGTGTAAATATCGCATTTGAATGATTCTAAAAGCTTGTATGGGTGTTGTAACTTAATGTTTGTACAAATGCTATATGATATTGTTCTATGCAAAAAAACACATAAAACGTTTTAAAAATGAACAATAGTTTATCAGTTCTAATGGATTTTTGTATCATAATTTAGTAATTTTTATAGTAATATATAAATAAGAACGCACAGCAAATTTTCACTAAGACTTTATAGTTTATTATAATATTTTGACGAAATAAGCTACTCCTGCCTTTGACAAGCATCCATTAAGTTCATCGCCAATGGAATTAATTTTGTTTTAATTATTTAAACATCACATTTAGAAGCTTAGAACTTAAATTATACTTTATAATTTATATTACACATTACAAGTTGATACTCCAGTAAGCAAGCTTGTTGTAGAAGTAGGGACACTAATTACACTAATTTAATCAATATCACTACCTTGTATAGTACGATTTTAAAGAGAAAGGGCTTAAGTTATTTTTCAACAGTTTCAGTTTATACATAAATTCTGTGTGAAATTTCAAGCCGCGTAATGATACCACTGTAGACGCCAAGTGGGATTTGGTTTACGAGATAAAATAGAATGCGTATGGCAATAAGTCATTTTGCAGAATTTTTTTATGAGAAAAGGCCTAAGTCACTTTTTATAACTCATTTTAATGACAAAGGGCATAAGTCTTATAAAATTACATGCAATAGGTCTTAAGTCATGATGCGAAAGGGCTCAAGTCAAACAGATATATATGCAATAGGTCATAAGTCATTATAATTTGAAGAAAATAAATAAATGCTAAAATATATTTAATAGTAAAATAACAAAACACTTATATATTATATATATACCTATATATTAAACATGATTATGAATAAAAAGTTTAAAAACATTAAAAATTTACAAAGTTATAATGTTTTTTGTATCTCCTGAAAAGTATCAATTTTTGACTTAAGCCCTTTCTCTTAAAAACCATCCAATTATATACTAGTAGATAGGTACTTCAATATATAAACTGATTCTTAATACTTAGTTCATTAGAATATTTAAAATAGGTCTATAGATATGGTATTATAGATAGGTTTGTAATATAGCCTTGCCAATAATAATTGTTGCTGATTTTAAAAATCGATAGCATCTCTTAATTAAAACGATATCATTTATTAGTTAGACAATTTTAAGTTTTAATAATGATCATACATATTTTAACTATTACTAATTATATATATTAACAACTAGAAAGTAGGAAATAATAAATATTTATTCCGTGTATACTCCATAGTATTCTATATAAATTAAATAATATTTTTTTGTAATTCATACACTTACGTCCTACATAATATAATACTATATAATACCAACTAAAAGTTTTAAAATATACCTGTTGCACTTTATTATTAATAAATTTGTTACTACCAAATTATATTTTATTTACATTTTGTTTAACTACATATAATGTTTTTTATCATAAATGTTATATGTAGTTGATAAAAATACAATGTATTATATAATGAATAATGAGTAAGTAATATGCATAACCAAATCAATGTCTGCAATAAGTACCTAGGAACCTAATAACATTAGTATTAGGTAACTCTGGTAACTAATATTAAATTAATTTATTAAAATGTTTGCTAAGGTATAATAAAAGATAAGATAATAATATTAACTATAATATCCAATGTACATCGGTAGTTATAACTTATAATAATATGTACCTAATAGTATATTAATATGTGTAGTTAAATTATGTAGGTACGTTACACCTAAATTAATATCTAAGGACCTAAGTACGATTAAAATTGTATTCAAATGTATCTTTTTACAGCGATGATAAGCTATAACATAATCGTTGGGGACACTGCAACAAAGGTCTTGATTCGGTTGTTTTCTCTGCCACACGACTCTGTATTTGCCCAACGGTACTTTGTCATAGCAATGGCCACAATTTTTATCACGACCCCTTTGTGCATGCTAAGGAATGTAGCAAGACTAGCCAAAGCGTCTATTGTGTCGTTCATCATGGTTTTGGTTATCTTTGTGACCATAGTCATCAGATACGAATCTTTACACGACGTTATGTAAGCCTAAATTAAATATTAGTATGTATGCTTTACCTAACATCGTATACGATTATTACATTTTAAAATAATTCCTCCGTCCCACTTTTTTAATTTCCACAGGTCCACAGTAACCGAAGTTGGTAACATAAACACATGGGATTTTGCTCGGCCTGGTGCGATTCAAGCTATTGGAATAATGTCATTCGGTAATATTTGCTCTCATCCATATATTATTGTAAATATTGACTTACATTACACTATCCGACAATAGAGATTTTTAAAACAATACGTATTAATTATACATAATCAATAATTATAATATATTTATACAGGGTGTATCTTATGTCATTGTACGCGGGGTTTTTTGACGATTACGGAACGATGATATGGAATTTCGTTAAAACGAAAAAAGACGTGTTTCTTTATTTTTAACAAGCAATTTTTTATAACAATTTCAAAATTTTTAAACACGCAGGTGTACCAATAGCAAAATCAACTTTTTTTTTTCAAATGGTAACCACTATATTTTTTAATGGATTCTGGTAAAGCTTTTTTTCTGAACATTTTGGTAGTCGAATCGTCAATTTTGGTTCGCTAGTTTATTAACTATGGCCCTCCAAAGATTAGTAAAATATGCATTAATACTTTTAATTAAAATAATGGGTATAGGTTAAATTTACAAGCGCTAAACAATTTTTTCTTATAACTACCATTTGATACACTACTATTGTTGAATCGGTAATCTAATGACACCCTCAAAAAAAAAAAAAAAAAAAATAACAAACATAATTGTTTGTAAACATACTTCATTAATTTTATTTTAACATACGATCATAAAAATCAATATTATTATTTTAATATCCAAACTAAAAAGGATGGAAAGGGATGAATTACAACTCCTAAGTTCATACTTTGGATGCGATACCATATACCATTTAGGGAATCTATGGTTAAAATATCAAGTTTATACTTTATACCACTACGAAAAGAGCACCACAAACATTGCACTTTTTTCGTTGCACATATTAATGTCAACAATCGAATACCATTTACCAATTTATCATTATTACCTTAGCTACCTACCTAATTAAGAATTCAAATTTATGATATTGTAAGAAAAGTAACTGTGATGAAAAAAATGTAAAGTAATTAATTACGATTATAATAATATATTAAAATAATAATATTGATTTTTATGATCGTATGTTAAAATAAAAATAATGAAGTATGTTTACAATTATGTTTGTTTTTTTTTTTTTTTTTTGAGGGTGTCATTAGATTACCGATTCAACAATTGTAGTGTATCAAATGGTAGTTATAAGAAAAAATTGTTTATCGCTTGTAAATTTAACCTATACCCATTATTTTAATTAAAAGTATTAATGCATATTTTACTAATCTTTGGAGGGCCATAGTTAATAAATTAGCGAACCAAAATCGACGATTCGACTACCAAAATGTTCAGAAAAAAAAGCTTTACCAGAATCCATTAAAAAATATAGTGGTTACCATTTGAAAAAAAAAGTTGATTTTGCTATTGGTACACCTTCGTGTTTAAAAATTTTGAATTGTTATAAAAAAATTGCTTGTTAAAAATAAAAAGAAACACGTCTTTTTTCGTTTTAACGAAATTCCATATCATCATTCCGTAATCGTCAAAAAACCCCGCGTACAATGACATAAGATACACCCTGTATATGTATAACTACCTATAAAAGGGAGATCAGCATTTTATATCTCAAAAATATTTGTACCAATTCCATTGTGACAGTATAAAACACGAAATGAGTGTATTTAAATATTAAAACTATATAATTTTATATGATTGAACAATATGCATATTAATATAGCATATAAACGTAAAAATAAATTTTTAAACAATTTTTTTTTGGTGGCGGCGGGGGTTGGGGGAGAGAGTAAGAATTTCAATCCTCCCCACAAACATAACCAAATTAAGCCACTTTATATAACTACACTAGGTATAGCAAATAAAAAAAAGTGTTTAGATTAAATAACAAAATTAATCAAATTTTTAAATAATAAAAATTAAGTTTAAAATATTGTTGCTATGTAATCCTTCATTTGTTATTTGAGATTTTATAGTGTATTAGTTTAGGGACGTATTCAGGGCAATTCCGTGGAGGGGGGGGGGATAAAACATTTTTAGTCTTGAATATCGCTTTTAATAATCAACAAAATTTATAAAATGTATTAACCTTAATTGGTTAATGCAAAAACAGAACATCTCATGAATTACGGGGGGGGGGGGACGATCGCCTGTATTAGTGTATGTTTTTTATATTATACACCATACTAGTAGAATATTATGGTTTTTACTTTTATTATTTAGGTTTTATGTGTCATCACAATGTGTTTTTGTTGTACGATTCAATCGAAGGAGCAAGTCAAACAATTTGGAACTGTGTAACACACGTCGCGGTCACAATATCGTTCTTGCTAATGGTCGCATTTGGACTAGTTGGATATGCTACATTTGGTGATCTCACTCAAGGTACGAAGTTTCCTTGTTAAAAATGGATAATACTGCATACCTAACTGTAATTTGTGTTTACACTAATAAACGTATAGGTGATTTGTTGGAAAACTATTGTTGGAACGATGATTTAATCAATATATCAAGGTTGTTGTTTTCATTGACAACGTTGCTCACATTCCCATTGGAATGTATGGTTACTAAAGCTGTTGTCGATCAGACGCTTAGGGGTGGTACCGATCCTTTTCCGATGTCAAAAAGAGACACGCGATCATTACGGTTTCTATTCTTGTGGCAACCTACTTTGTTTCCATATCCACCAAATGTCTTGGAATAGCCTTAGAAATAAACGTAAGATGTGTTAAATACTATATTTAGCGTAGCTTATATACATTTTACAGACAACTTTTTGAAAAGTGATTATTTTATTAAAAACTAGTGGGCTCTGCCTCCTTCTAGATTTGCATGCAACCCACCTCCCACCCGACCACGCGACCCGGGCCTGAGGGCTTAACCACTTTTGCATCTTGAAATTTAACATCTACAATTTAAAATTAAGTGGAATATGTAAATATTTTTTATATAATAGAGAGATATACTTAACCATTTAAAAGTACATTTTAACATGTATGTATATTTTATACATATAATAAATTGCTTATTCAAATATTATATAGTCAACATAAATAATAATTTACACCAATGTTCACCACTCTATATTATATTTTGTCTATACTCTAAACATATTTTTCGATTTTTGGTGAATAGTATAAATAGTATAACCATGATTAAAACTTAAAACTGACAGTTTCAAAGTTACAAAGATATAAATGTATTAATTTATCTTTAGCATGGCATTTAAAAAAAATTGAATATGCCATTTATACTTTATAGTTGGGTATGTCGCCACGTCAGTATTTTAACGAAAGGGTTCCTTAAAGGAATTGTGAATAGTTCATAGAAATCTCAAATACCTACTTTTCGAAAGTACCTCCTCAGACACAAATTCCATGAGCATATACTGATTGAGCAATAACACAGAAAACCATTTTCAAAGTGTGTAATAATTCTAACTGCATAAATAATTATTTTTTATTAGGGAGTTGTGGCCGCAATTCCACTGGCATTTGTTTTACCAGCAGCAATTTATATTAAAATCTCCAATGATTCATGGAAAGAAAAGGTAATATCCTATTTCACACTATAATAGATGTAAATTATTATATTTGAACTTATTAGGCGAACATTATTAGATTCTTTATGGAACATTGTAATGTTAATTAAAGTATTTCGGGTAAACAAGACCCACGTATACAAAAGACAAAAATATGTTATAATACATTTCATGTGTTATATTTTCTTATACTTCGATTAAGTTATAACTTTTGTAGGTACATTTTTTAAGAATAAATGTTCGTAAAAATAAACATTAATGGTATATTTAAATTTAAGTAATTAAAAAAATATATTTGATTAGTTTAAATTCAATTTCAACAATTAACTATACCTACTTACATATAGTTAAAAAAAAAAAGATTCTATTTTATTCTATACGAAATGTGATGTCTAATCCAGACATTACACATGATAAATATTCAGAAACAAACTTTGAAGTTAAGGTACTCGATCATATTTTAACAACATATCATTTTAATTAAGCCCAAGGTAATTATGTTTATAAAGAGTCTAAAACGTTAGAATTATTATTTTTAGTAGGTTGCTATCATATTTAAAATATAATTTAAATGTTGAATATTTTTTGCAATTTATAACCAAATTCAATAATAAAATTATGATATATTACACTATTTTTATTTACTTTAGATTCCTGCGTATTGCTTGGCTCTGTTTGGCACAATAGTAGCTGCATCTGGAATATCATTAGTCGTGTACGAGATTTTGACTTTTACTGCGGATTCTTGTGAAAATGATAGGATAATGGATCACTGTAACATTAACGACACATACCTCCCAACTGGTGACATTATCCAGTTACCATTGAACTAAATTGTTTTTAATACAAATATCGTTTAAATGATAACATTTATGGTTACCTTCTAGTCTCTAACAAATAAATATTTTTTAATGTTAATTTTAATTCAGAATGATTCTTATTTATTCAATCGTATACATAGGTACCTATATGTAGGTATACCAAACTATAAGTATATAATATATTAATATTATTACCTATACCTATTTGTATTGATATATCTCATTAAAGAAGATAACGATAAACCTAAGTTTTAATTTTGAAGTAGGTTCCTATCAATAAATTACTTTTTTCTCGTTTCTCCATGGTTTTTATCAATCCTAGCTTTTTTTTTTTAATTTTGTAATCTTCTTAAGCCTTAATATTATTTCTAGTGTTAAGAATAATATATTGGTATAGAACAAAAATCTAATATTAATAATATGGTATAGTCTGGTTGGCAGATCCAACAATTTTAGTACGACAACTGGAGTTTATATTAAAGTTTAAAGTGGTTGATTCCGGTAGCTAATAACGATAGTTGTCAACCAATTACTAACACTTTTAAGGTTATGTACGAGTTCAATGATTAATATGGTTATTTGTTATCTGTAGATACAAATGTACAAGTGTTCAACTATGTCTATATAACTCATTTAAAACTTAACATTTTGTATACCTAATGCTCAAGATCTAATTCAAAATGTTCTAACCCAAATTTCAAATTAATTAAAACAACTCAATAAATAGGAAACCTAAAATTCAAAAACACCAATATAACTGTAGGTATAAACTATTTGGGTGTACCTACAACCGTGGTAATGCACTCTAATGTCCTTCTGAAAACACTTCCCAAATATCTTATAAATCGACAAAGTCACATATATATACCTACTTCATAATTATACAATTATTAAGTATCGTGATAAAATATATTATCAGTTGAGAGTTTAAAGTCATAAAATACATAGCATAGTAGTAGGAGTAGTAGGACATATAGGTACTGCACTTGAATTCATGAAAAATAAGCAATTTTTCTTTTTGATTAATTTAAAATCCAATTTTATGAAATATTTAAGAGACATTGTATTCAAAAAGTAACTTTTAAGTAGTTTTAACCTTCAGATCTGAACACACTGTTTATTAAATAAAATGTTTTAAACATTTTAATTCAATTTAATAGGGATATATAAACTGTATGACTATGTATATATAGAAGTATTCAGCATGTATAGATAGGTACTTTATTCAAAAAATTGTCTCAAAATATTTTATAAAAATTGGTAGTTCTTTAGACAATTATTAAACTTTTTTCTGGTTATTTACGCTCGTAGGTATAGCTTTTAGAATATCTTAACTTCAATATTTCGTAAATTAAAGTAAAATTATGCAAAATAGAGTTATGAAAACTATTTTCATTAATATTATATTAGGTAATATACCTAATATCTAAAAGGATACTTAGCTGATATCGGTGTTTATTATTTAAAGGATCCCTAAATTCTATGCCAAATTAAATTTTGTAAATTCAGTTTTGATTTTTTTTTTTTTTTTAAGAGGACATTCATTTAATATTTAATAACTGTTAAAACTTTGTGTAATATTAAAACCATATTGCCATAAATATGAACTATATTCATATATTTTAATACGAATTCATTCGCTTGTCACATTGACATTTTAAAATATTAAATTCTATTTATTTACTAAGTGTAAAATAATAACAAACAATAAGTTCTCCAAGCATTTGTGGCAATATATCCCTGAATTAATTGATACTCGTATAGTTAAAATAATTATAAACTAATCAATCATTTATAAAAATGAAATGTGGTATTGGGTTTTCAATATAAACCTGACCATCATATAATATTTATTAACTTTGTTATTCCTTGGCGGTTCATTATGTTTTATATAAGCTAATTGATTTTACTTATTGTGCTTTGAGTTTAATAATCATGTATAGAAACTTATTTATTACGTCATTATTAGATTTAATTTACAATAATAATAATAATTTTCCTATAGTACATTCAATATTATATTGTATTCTTCATTATAGATATTATCATGAAACTATAATAAAATAATATTTGGTTAAGTAAATTATATAATATGATCAACAACAAAACATACTAAATCATTTGGTTAATTATTATAATAGGTATGTTTATTTAACGGACTATTGTAACAAAATTGTAAATGATAAATAAATAAATATATAGTAAACACAATAGTTAATAACAAGTTATTAGAAACAATTGGTATATTATATTATCTAGTTTAATAATCAAACACTCAACACTGAGTAAGAAGATTAATACTTAAAAGATCATTGTCTTAAGGCTGAGACGCTGAGTCTTGTCATTTCCTTACCTAATGGATAATATTATGGATATAACCTGTCGTGACTGGAGACAGCAAGCCCAGTAATTATGACATATTATAATATAGAAAAAATGTATTGACATTTTTTTTATTATTGATCGTTATTAACATCGACTACAAAGGTTCATTATAGGTACATATTAGTTAAAACATCTCAATTTTAGTTACACATTTTTGTTATATAGGTAACTATACCTTTTAAGTTTTAATGTTTTAGCTAGGTTATTTCATTCTGCCTACGAATGTGATTTTTATTTTAAAAGATCGTTTGGTTGTTGAGATATTTTGTGGGTTTGGAGGTTTGATCCAAGTTGTGCGGTTCTTTAAATCTGTTATTATGTGTTTGACTGTAATTATCATTCCACAAATTGTACTTATAATTTGAGCATATCAACTTGTATAGATGGTATATACAAGTATAAGATATGTAAATTATTCACACTAATATTCAAGAAATATAAAATAGTGAAGAAAACTCGTTTGCATACGTAAGCTATATATTATAATAGGCCTAAGTAATTATAATATATTAATTAATTTAATTTTTAGAATTATGTATTATTTTAAAATAGCGTAAGAAGGCATTTATTGTAGATATACTTAGTATATTGTAACTAATTTATTTTTTTTTTTATATAAGAAAATTTACAGTCTATGCAATTTTGCAAAATCGACACTATTCAATGAAAATCATGAATATGAATCCATCATAATACAACACATTAAATATTAAACGTACCTACCTACCAGCTACCTGTATCTAATCTTTATTAAATTTATGTACTGTACCTTTGTCCTATAATATTGTATGTAGGTACCTTCAAGAATGTGTATAAATATCAATAAATAAGCTCAATGTTAGATAGGTTAAATTAAAAGTACGATATTATGTGATATTATGTAGGTATGATATTATATGCATATAAATATAGCTATTTAGGACTGCGTTCTTCAATAAACACTTTAATATGAAGACG